TTTATCAATTAACACATTTTTTTCATGAATAAAATATATTATAGTAATTGTATATTATTATGAAATTCAGGAATCCGTTTGATTCCATCGATAAAATGAATAAAACTGCCTCTGCCTGTGAAGCATAAAAGGCAAAAGGGTAAGGAAAAAGAGAAACGATTTGGACGTAGTATGAACTGGGTCATACTATATAAAAAGTGTAGTTTTCATCGAGGAACCGGTTTTAAATAAACCCTTTCACCACCTCGCCCCTCCTACCCTCCTCACTTTCGGCCTGTGAATTTCTAATTAAAACCGCCTAAGCAACAGCTTACTCTCAAGTTCTGAGATCTTCTCCGAGAGAGTTTAAAAATAGACATCCGCGTTCCTCTTTTAATTAAAATACAACTCATTGGGTTGATAATATGAAACTTGTTAGAAAGGCTTCAATATGAGGCCAGCGACTTTTAAGGTAATTGAAAATTGTCTACACTCAGCCTAATGTGGCAGAAATAAGTTAGGCATTTCAGGCAATACACTGTGAACGATTTTATCATTGGTTTCAATTGCACGTGTCTATTTTTTTTTCTCTGATTTTCTACAGAGTTTGTATAGTTTGTTAGCCTGCCACGTTCCTATTTGGAATCGTGGATTTCTGATTGGCTCAACGTCTCTCAATTGCTTTTGATTATGCCTACATTCTATTTCGCACCTATTCATTCGAAGAATCTCAGGAATATTTTGGACAGGATATCAGACAGATTGAATAACGATGGAATCTGGAATTACTGTTCACGTAAATTCTGAGAAACGTTCAAATCTGATTTTTTTTTAAACATAACTAAATTCAACTGAAATTTGTATTTGAGTCAGCGAAGGGCTTAACGCAATTTCGGTTCAATTACTGTCTTCATCATGCGAATTGACGTCCTATTAAAACGATGGAGAAACGTTCGATCCCTCGAGGTACGATTTACACCGGAAATCATGTTTCAACTTTTCATTGAGAGAGAGAGAAAAAGAACAATAATCGAATCGCACGTGCACGCGTGTTTCAAGTCCTGATGAACAGCTCGATTGCAGTTTACTCGATTTTCGTTTTAAAAACAGGTCAAATAATTTTTAGTCAGATCCTGCGTTTTCCTGAATTTCTGTAATTAATAAACGGGATCCCGTGCGTAGTTAAAAACGGAACGAAACATTTTTTTTAATGTCACAGGGAACAGTAACAAGTTTTATTTAATAACGAATTTTATTTAATACNATAAAATGTTAATTAACTTACTTGTTCGTGGGTACATTGGTGAGGGAAAGGAAGTTGTTCCTAACCGATCTGAGGGAAGCGAGAATCTGGGCGAACGGCGTGACAATAAGATCCTCGCCATGGCTGCAACGATCAAAATTCAACAATTAGAAAAAATAATCTTAATCATAAAATAATTAAAAGGAAATCATAAATGAGGGGGGATGTTCTCTAATTCGT